TGCTTTGGGAGGCAGAGGTGAGAGGACTACTTGAGCCCAGGAGTTTGAGACCATATTGGGCAACATAGCGAGACTTCGTACCAGAAAGAAAATTTTCCATCATCAGGCTAGAGTGCAATGGCGTAATCTCAGCTCACCACAACTTCTGCCTCCCAGGTTCAAGCAATTCTCCTGCCTCGGCCTCCCAAGCAGCTGGGACTACAGGTGTGTGCCACCACGCTCAGCTAATTTTTTGTTGTAGAGAGGAGGTTTCACCATATTGGCCAGGCTGGTCTTGAACTCCTGACCTCGTGATCCACCTGCCTCAGCCTATTAAAGGGCTGGGATTATAGGTGTGAGCCACTGCCCCCCAGCCAAAAAAAAATTTTTTTTTGAGACAGAGTTTTGCTCTTGTTGCCCAGGCTGGAGTGCAAAGGTGCCATCTCTGCCTAGTGCAACCTCTGCCTCCCGGGTTCAAGCGATTGTCCTGCCTCAGCCTCCAGAGTAGCTGGGACTACAGGCATGCACCACCATGCCCGGCTAAGTTTGTATTTTTAATAGAGACAGGGTTTCTCCATGTTGATCGGGCTGGTCTTGAACTCCCGACCTCAGGTGATCCACCCATCTCGGCATCCCAAAGTGCTGGGATTACAGGCATGAGCCACCATGCCTGGCCCCTCAAAATTTTTTAATTAGCTGGGCACAGTGATGCACACCTATAGTCCCAGCTACTTGAGAGGCTGAGGCTAGAGGATTACTTGAGCCCAAAAAATCAAGGCTGCAGTGAGTTGTGATCATACCACTGCACTCCAGCCTAGATTCGAGACCCAGTCAAAAAAAGGAGGAAGGGAGGGAGGGAGGGAGGGGAAAGGAAGGAAGGAAGAAAGAAAGGTGGGAAGGGGAGGAGGAGGGGAAGAGGGGGGAGGGAAGGGAGGGAGGGAGGGAGAAGGGAGGGAGGGATGGGAAGGGAAGGAAGGAAGGAAGAGAGAAAGCAGGGAAGGGGAGAGGGGGAAGGGAAGAGGGGAAAGGAAGGAAGGGAGGAAGGAAGGAAGGAAAGCATTTGATAGTTGTATTTTACAAAATATTTTCCAACAATTCTCTCACACTATATACTGGTTTTTATAATGTGGCTTTGACAATCTTTCATCAGAAGTTGGGATCTCTGTCTCCACCTTTTAAAACCAGGAGGTGTTTTTTGTTACTGTTGGGACCAGCAGAGTATGGCATAAATGATGCCATGTGCCTTCCAGAATCTTCCATTTATTCCCTGGAATACTTACCCCAGACGTTGAGGTCAGTGGAAAGGGGCCTAACTAGCCATAAGGAAAGCACCAGCTGAGCCCTGGGGCTGTGTTGAGAGCGCCCCCTGGCGGCCCACCAGCTCCAGCTCTGCCTCTATTGTGACAAGGACCTCCTGAGACCCCAAGCTGGGCCCTGCCCAGACCCGTGACCCACAGACTGTGGGAGGGATCACACATTTTTATTTTTGTTTTAAGCCACTACGTTTTGGGATATTTGCTACACGGCAATAAACGGAACAGCAACCATGAGAGTAACAGGTTCAGACAAAAGTCCTCAGTGGATGCAAGTAAAGTTTTAAGGAGGAGTCAAGACTTTCACATAAAGTGTCTCCTCTCCAAATATTTGTTAATTACTAAGGGAAAAATGGTAACTTCATAATGGCAAATTCTGGCAGGAATCAACTTAAAGTGATCAAAGTCAGTACTATTGTACTGAGACCAATTAACATCGTATGCAAATATGTAACAGCTGGCTGGTGGGGCCTGGATTTGCAACATTTGCTGACTTTTGTGGCGTAAAAATTCCTGCAAGCTGGTTGCATGGCTCATGCCTGTAATCCCAGCACTTTGGGAAACTGAGGCAGGAGGATGCATTGGGGCCAGGTCTTTGAGACAGGCTGGGAAGTGTAGCAAGATCCCATCCCAACTGGAGGACCCTGGGTAAAGAGAATGTTCGAGGTTTGTGGTGGTGTTGTTTTTGTTCGTTTTGTTTTTTTTGAGTCAGGGTCTCACTTTGTTGGCCGGCCTGGAGTGCAGTGGTGCTATCTCAGCTCACTGCAGCCTCCACTTCCTGGGCTCAAGCGATCCTCCCACCTCAGCCTTCTGAGTAGCTGAGACCACAGGCACGCCCCACCATACCCAGCTAATTTTTGTATTTTTAGTAGAGATGAGGTCTCACCATGTTGCCCAAGCTGGTCTCGAACTCCTGGGCTCAGGCAATTTGCTCATCTCGGCCTCTCAAAGTGCTGGGATTACAGGCATGAGCCCCTGTGCCTGGTCTGTTAACAGTTTTCTGTACTATTCTTGCAACTTGTTTTGAAATTATTTCAAAATGATCAGATAAATGCTCCGTGGACATTTAGTTCAATAGGACTAGGCCATGAGGAACAAAGGCAAGAAGGAAGAACTGGACACAGGCAAGACTGTTGCTGGTTCATTTTGCCAAATCGGAGATCACAGCAAGTTCAGGCCAGAGGCTGTCTGCATCTGCCTCTGCTGGAGATCCCCCGCAGCCACGGCAACTTGCTACAGAAATCCATTCTGCTAAAGTCCATCTTTACCAACTGTTAAATGTAAGTTAGTGAGTTGGGACCTAAAAGAGGTCTTCAGGGATTTGGAGAGGCACTGAATCACCTGCAGAGTTAGACAGGACCCTACGGGCTGTCTTCTTCCACCCGGGCACGGCCTGTGATTGCTGACTCCTGGTGGGCAAGGTTTTCCCAGTTCCAGGAACCAAATGAATTCTTGGATTCCCTGTCACCCTTGAGTTGAGTGAGGACAGGCCTGGCTTCTTGCATCCTTCTCCCAAGGACAGGCAAGGAGCTGCACTCTGATCACACGAGGTCTTTTACTTGGGGGGTCTGTTGTACTCCCCCCTGCCTCGGCAGCTGGCTGAACAGACACAGAGACACCCACTCAGTCAATGCATTGTTTATTGAACACTAACTGGGTTGGGGTTAGCAAACAGGCTCTGAGTTAGCAGCGTGCATGATCAGAAACAATCATGAGTGCCTGCCCACGGGGGGCTTGCAGTCTGGAGGGGCGAGACTGTAGACACAGAAGTAAATGTCCAATTATAAATCGTGATTAGAGGCACGATGGAAAAGGGTAAGGCTTCCTGCGAGAAACACGGCAGGCACAGGACAACCTCTGAGACAGCGACAGGAACCTGAAACTTGAAGGGTAAACAGGAATGGGTGAGACAAAAGGGAAAAACGAACATGCTTGCTGGCTCGCCAGCACTCTAGGAGGCCAATGCGGGAAGATCATGGGTCAAGAGATTGAGACCATCCTGGCCAACATGGTGAAACCCTGTCTCTACTAAAAATACAAAAATCAGCCGGGTGTGGTGGTGCGTGCCTGTAATACCAGCTACTCGGGAGGCTGAGGCAGGAGAATCACTTGAACCCGGGAGGCGGAGGTTGCAGTGAGCTGAGATCACACCACTGCACTTCAGCCTGGCAACAGAGACCCCCTCTTAAAAAAAAAAAGAAGGTTCCATGGAGAGAGAAGGAGAAAAGACTCAGGCACAGTATAGAGCTGGGGACATCTGAAGAAGAAAGGGCCTCTGGGGTGGGGGGCCCTCGGGGTGAATGGGAGAGGAAGCCACTGGAAGGGATCCAGATGAAATCAGATGCTATATGCCCTGTGGAGACACTGGTGTTCCTCTAATTGCACTGGGTTGTAAGCAAAGGAGTCACCTGATTTAATTTGATATTTAAAAAGTCAGGCTGGGCACGGTGGTTCACGCCTGTAATCCCAGAACTTTGGGAGGCCCAGGCCGGTGGATCATGAGGTCAGGAGTTCGAGACCAGCCTGGCCAACATGGTGAAACCCCGTCTCTACTAAAAATACAAAAAATTAGCTGAGCGTGGTGGTGCACCTGTAATCCCAGCTACTTGGAAGGCTGAGGCAGGAGAATCACTTAAACCTGGGAGGCGGAGGTTGCAGTGAGCCAAGATCATGCCATTGTACTCCAGCCTGGGCGACAGGGCGAGACTCCGTCTCAATACAAAAAAAGTCATTCTACTCTGTGAAGAAAGAGCTGGAGGAGGCAAAGGGAAGACAGGGGAGATCAGTGAGGAGGCTGTTGTCATAACTCAGGTGTGGGCCTGGTGGCTTGGACTTGGTAGCAGCTTGCAGGCAGAGTGCCTCTGTCCGGGTCCGGATGCAGGGAGTGGAGGACAGCGCAGCATCGAGACTTTCTGCTTTGATCAACTGGGTGGAATGGACGGAGCTATCTTTCACCAGATATGGGAAAGGCCAGGGAAAGGTTTAAAGCCTGACTGTGGTGGCTCATGTCAGTAATCCCAGCACTTCGGGAGACTGAGGCAGGAGGATCACTTGAGACCAGGAGCTGGAGACCAGCCTGGGCAACGTAGCAAGACACTCTTTAGAAAAATTAAAGTAGAGAAAAAGAAAGGTTTAAAGGGAAGAGATTGAGGGTTCAGAATTGTACCTCCTCAGTTTCAGAGATTCCTTTGAGCTCTTCAAGTACATAAATAAATGTGGGAATCATTAACAAATAAATGGTGTGAAAGGCAAGGGAATGGATGAGACCACCCAGGAAAAGAGTACACAGAGAGAAGAGAATAAAGAGGGCAGGGTTAAGGAGATCGGAACAGGCCAGGCGTGGTGGCTCACGCTTGTAATCCCAGCACTTTGGGAAGCCGGGGCGGGTGGACCACCTGAGGTCAGGAGTTTGAGACCAGCCTGACCAACAAGATGAAACCCCTTCTCTACTAAAAATACAAAAATCAGCTGGGGATGGTGGCACACACCTGTAATCCCAGCTACTCGGGAGGCTGAGGCAGGAGAATCACCTGAACCTGGGAGGCGGAGGTTGCAATGAGCCAAGATGGCACCATTGCACTCCAGCCTGGGTGTCAAGAGCAAAAATCCATCTTGAAAAAAAGAATTTATTTATTTATTTATTTGTTTGTTTGTTTGTTTTAAAAGACGGGATTTCACCATGTTGGTCAGGCTGGTCTTGAACTCCCAACCTCAGGTGATCCGCCCCCCTTGGCCTCCAAAATGCTTGGATTACAGGCATGAGCCACCACGTCCAGCCAAAAAAAAATTTTTTTAAACAGAAAGATCAGAATAGAAGAGAGCCCAGGACTGAGCCCTGAGGACACAGCACAGAGGTCAGAGAGGAGGAGATTCTGAAGTAGGGAAACTGGAAGCGATGGACACAGAGTGGAGAAAATCAGGAGGGTCAATGCTGCTGCAGCTGAGGGAGAATGTTCCAGAGGATGAAGCTGGTCAGCCAGCCAAGTGCTTCTCACAGGGTCGCTCCGTACCCAGGTCATTGATTTGATGGGGACATGGAGCTGATTCAAGAACGGGTGAGTGGCGGTGGCAGCACGTGCGGGAAGGCAGCTCATGGAGGATGGCTAGTTTCTGCTCACTCCGTGCCACATCTGCTATGAACTTATCCCACCTCTTCTTCCAGATTGCCATGAAAGTATTTTTCTCAATCTCCAACAGGCTACTGTACCTGCAGGAAGAGGAGGAGCCCAGGTGAGCCTCGGGGCAGGGGCTGGGAATGGGGCAGGGAGCCTGAGGGGACATCGAAGGCTTGCAGAGCAGTGTCTCCAGTCCAGCAGCAAGGACTAACCAGCCATGATAAGAAGGAACCCACAGAAACCATCGAGGCATCAGCCTCAAGCCTCCTCAGATGCAAACACAAGCTGTGGGCTGGAAGGCGGGCAGAGGTCCTGGGAGGACATGAGACACTCACTTGATAGAGTTGATGGCCAGCTGTTTGAGGGTCCTCAGGTCAGCCTTCATCCCCCCAATGCCCATGAAGTCCTCAAAGAAATGGTAGGACAAGCCTTTGGCACCAAAGATCGCTGGGTCATCAGAGCTGATCACCATGG